AGTATTGGCTCCTGGCAGTGGACAATGTTGTGCCTTACCTCCCCCACCATACCACTGAGAGGAAAAGCTCTACAGACCCTGAGTGGAGGTCTGTCATGCCTAGGCGTCGTTTGTCACATTTAGGAGGGCGGGGAGGAGGCGGGGCCGTCTCTGCAGCTAGTGCAGCCAGTTGTCTGGAGCAGTTACCCCAGTGTTAGTGCCTTGTTGCCTGCTTCCCCCGCCCTCTTGCTCATGGATACACCCAGTGTTAATCCCTCTTTTCTGTATCTGGATGTTTCAGTGATTTTATAAGGATCTAATTTTTTTGAGATTATAATAAAAATTATAACATTTTCTTCCTTCCCTCCAAACGCTCCCTGCTCTCCTTCAAATGCATGGCTTCTTTTTTCACTAATTGTTATTGTATGCATGTATGTATATACCTATATGTTCCTAAGTATAACCTGTTCAGTCCATGTAATGCTACTTTTCTCTTCAATCCCTCTCTGTTGAAAATAGAGGATGGGGCTAGAGAGATGGCTCAGAGCTTAAGAGTGTGTGGATCCGGGTGGCCTGTGCTGCCACTGGGGCCAACTTGGTAGCATCTAGCCTGAGCTCAGTTTGAAGTGTTCCTGTAGGCCATGGTTTAAATACTCCTTCCCTAGTTACTGGAGCCATTTGGGAAGCTGAGGAGCCTCTAAGAGGTGGGGCCAGCCTGTCAGGAACAGGCTGTTGGGAGTTTGGGCCTTTGAAGCTGATCCTTGGCCTGAGGTCCCGCTGTGTGCTCTGCTTCCTGGGTGACATGGCTAGAACAGCCTCTGTCACACTCCTCCCAGCTGTGATGCTCAGAGAGTCTCAGAAAGCATGAGCCAGGAAGTCATGGCACTGCAAAAGGTAACATAATTTTATCAAAGTTTTTTATTGGCTTTTGTGCTTTCATGAATTGGGTGACATTGGATGCACAGAAAAGCTAAGTGGAACAAGTTAGCCTTATAGTCAGAAAGCAAGGCACAAAAGCCGGCTGGTCCTGTCATAGCTGGTAGTTGTGTCCCTTGCAAAGCGTCATGCCGAGATTTCTTTGCCATGCTAGCACAAACTGACGAGCCCTCTTCTGACCAATGACAGCAAATCCCCTGGTTTAAAAAAATAACTAGCTGGTTTTGTTTACAACTAGCCAGTTTTAAAGTTCAGTTTGACTGCTTAGCACCTAGCACGAGTAACTTCATTCTGGTTTGGTCTGGTGAAGTCTACTATAGGAGCTTGGTTTAAAAAAAAAAAAAAAAAAGAGCCACCCTCACGCTGCTTTTTTTAAACACGTCTTGTTGTAGAGTCCTGACTAGCCTGAAACTTACTGTGTGCACCAGGCTGGCCTGGAGCACGCACCGTCTGCCTTCCCCTGCCTCCTGGGCGCTGTCATTACAGGTGTGCCCATCACACCCGGTTACCTCCCGTTTTGGTAATACACCGTTTATGCCCCCTTCCCTCTCGCAGGCTGCTGCCATGGGTCTTAGCTGTCCTCTTGCAGTGCGTCTGCCTGGACTAAGCTTAGCCACAGTCAGAGTTGCCTTCAGGCCAGCCTCGGCGTTGTCTCTAGGTACCCTGAACCTAGGCCCAAAGCTAGAAACAGCTGCTCTGAGCTAGACAGAGAGCAGCTGCCTTGGTTGGTATGAGAAGCTCAAGTGAGGTGTTCACGCCTTCTCAGAGCTGCAGAGCCAGTCTGGGTGTTGGGAAACCAATCATTGAATGTTTAGATGGTGGAGTTTGGAGGTTGGGGGGGTGGTCTATAATCTGCCACTCTGTCACTATAAAGAAGGAACTTGAAGGCCAGTGAGATGGTTAAGAGGGTTGAGACACTTGCCTTGCAAGCCTGATGACCTGCGTTCAATTCCCAGAACCCGTGTAAAGGTGGACGGAGAAAACCAACTCCACAGAGTCATCCTCTGGCCTCCATGTGTGTGCTGTGGTACAGGTGCACCAACACATACACACACATAGTAACAACAATAAAATATATAATTAACTCAAAGGCTTCTCCAGTATTCTGTGGGGAGTCTTACAAATTTTTATAAGCCCTGTGAAGCTATTCTTGGTTGTCAACTTGACTGCGTCTGAAATTAACTAAAACTCAAGCATCTAGGTACACCTGTGTTTTTGTTGTTTTTTTTAATTAAATCATTTGAAGTGGGAAGACCCACTTTTAGTCTGGATCTTTTGAAGTGGGAAGAGCCACCTTAAGTCTGAGCCACACCTTCTCCTGGCAGCCCATAGTAAGGACATGGAAGAAAGGAACTCTCGCATTTTGACGCTTGCTGTAGGTCTCACTGGTATTCTTCTGGGTTCCAGTGAATACCGAAGACCAGCTGAGACATCCAGCCTCATGGACTGAGCAACTACTAGGTTCTTGCCCAGCTTGAACCATTCTAATAAATCCACCGTGTGTGTGTGTGTGTGTGTGTGTGTGTGTGTGTGTGTGTGTGTGTGTGTGTACACATATATATGGGATATATATACATATACATACATACATAGTATATGTATGTATATCCGTTTGTTAAGTTCTGTTCCTCTAGAGAATCCTGACTAATACAAGCCCTGATAAGCAGTTTTAATGACTTGTCTTTAAAATGTTATTTAGGACTGTCACTTTATATATTCTTGAGTTCAAAAGATCATTAAACCATATCATAAACATAGCTCTGGCTAGTTTTTGTCAACTTGACACAAACTAGAGTCACCTGGAAAGAGGACCCTCAGTTGAGAAACCTCCAGATTGGTCCATGGGCTTGTCTGCGGGGCATTTTTGTGATGGTTGATGTAGGAAGGCCTGGCCCTCTGTAGGTGATGTCACCCCTGGGCAGATCATCCAGGGTTGCATAAGAAAGCAAGCCAGTGAGCAGTGTTGCTCTGAAGTTCCTGCCTCTGCCACTGCTCTGACTAACCTCTAACTAACACCGTGACTGAGAAGTGTAAGCCAAATAAACTATCCACCCACCCTACCCAAAAGTTGTTTGGGGGTCATAATGTTTTGTCACAGCAACAGAAAGCAAACTAATAAAGAAATACACAAGGGACCCACACAGAACAGTAAAGGAGGGGAAATAGAAATTCCTTCTCCCAAACTCAGTTTTATTTCATACAATTCACTTAAGGTTTTTGTGAGTCATTCTAGAAAATCCGCAAGCCTTGTAAAAAGTGCACAAATGGAGCCTGCACGAATGTTAGATGCCTGCATCTCTTGCTGTTGTATTAGTTATTTGTGTTCCCTCATTGCCAACAAAACAACTAAAGCAACTCACGGAAGGAAGGGTGTATGTTGCTGAAAGTTGTGAGGACCCACCCAGCCTATCAAGCACGGCGAGGGAGTATGCCGGTAGGGGCGTGAGGCATCTGATCATGTTGCAGCCACAGTCAGGAACAGAGAGATGAACGCTGATGCCCTACGCACCGCCTCCCATTAATCCAGTGCAGGACCCAGCCCATGGCAGGTACCATTCAGGGTGGGTCTTCCCACCTCAGTTAAACTTGAGAAATGCCCAGGCATCCCCAGAAGTTGACTCCTAAGCAATTCCAAGTCCTGTCGGTTGACAAGATTAACTGTCACAAGCCTGTCCTTTGTCAACCTGACACTCAAACATAGTTTTAAACCAGAACATTCCTGGACCTCCAGGTATCATGTTCATCTCAGCAAAATGCATGCAATCCATCCCTCAAAGTCCTGCCCCGGTGTCGTTCCATGGTGAAGCAGAGGGGACTTTGCCATGTCAGCTTAGGTTGACTGGGCTTCTCTGAGAATCTCCTCTGAGACTAAAGCAATCTCTTTTAACTGTAAGCCCCCATAAAGTAAGCAGGTTGCATACTTCAGGTGTACAGTGGGGTAAAGTAAACATCATCCCAAAAGAGAGGAATGGGGTCCATCAAAGACCTGGACCATGGTTCCAGGACCGGAAAGTCCCCAAATGTACAAACCTTGCTATTGGCTTCTGTAGTTCTGCTTCCTGCTAACAGCAGTGTGCCAAACAGGATGTAGATGCTGTTTATAAAAGACAAACAACCGTGGGATCGGGGCTGCATGATTTTGGCAAGTCCTCCATGCAGCTCCAGCAGGTGATACTTTCTATTCAGCTTTTAGAATGTCCATGTGTGTTCTCTGGTGGACTTACTTCAGCCCACTGTCGCTGTGATAAACTTGGGGAAGCAAGGGCTCCCTTGGCTTGCAGTCTCTAGAGAAGTCACGGCAGGAACTGAGATAGATACCGTGAAGGCGTGCTGCTTACTGACTTGCTCCCTGTGGCCTGCTCAGCCTGCTTTCTTATACAATGAAGGGCCACCTGCCCAGGGGTAGCACTGCCCACAGTGGGTTTAGCCCTCCCACATGAATCATTAATCAAGAAAATGCCCCATAGGTGTGCCCACAGGCCAATCTGATGGAGGTATTTCTCCAGCTGAGCCTCCTCCTCCTCAGGTGAGTCTGGTTTGGGGATGTTCAGGAATACATCCTAAATGTGTTTTGTATTGTATGAACATGAGACTTCAGGGACCAGGAGTGGAATGTCATACTTTAAAAAGAGTGTGTTTTGGGTTTCAGGTTGTCAAGGGAGGACTTGTGACAGTTACCTTGATTGTCAATGTAACAGGATTTGGAATTGCTTAGGAGACAACTGTGGGCGTGTCTGTGAGTATTTCTAAGAGTTTCACCGGCATGGGAAGACTCCGGCCAGGGAGTTTTGGAAGACACTTGAACAAACATACCGGAGTCTGGCACAAGACAGCCCTGTTCACTCAGTCCACTATCAACATGTCTAATCAGCGTAGGACAGTTAACCAATGTAGTTCCTTAATTCTACCTCACTCGAGTCCTCAGGACATAGGAAGAAAAAAGGCCACCAGACTCTAGACCAGAATGTGACAAGATCTCTAGGCCAGTTCCCAATAGAGTCCTCGCCCCCCTCTTGTGCCCCGCTGTCCACATTTCTCCCACCGTCCACGTTTCTCTCGGCATCCTAAGAGTCTTCCTCACCCACCTGACCAGCTGTCCACTCAGGCAGCCAACAACGCCAGACTCCTCCACACTCCTCTCTCAAACCAGTTCCGAAGGTCTGTCAGCCACAGCGCCTGGCTCACCTCAGCAGCAGCCCCACCTCTCCGTGCCTGGTTTCCGTATCAGTTACTTTTCTGATTGTGCTGACAAAGGCAAGTTCTAGAACGAAGGTGTAGTCTGGTCCATGGTGTAAAAAACGGTTCCAGCCCGCCATGGGAGAGAACATCTGACGGCAGGTCACACTATTCTCACCAAGAAGCACTGAGGTGACTGCTCCTACTCCTCAGCCTGAGACCCCAGCCCACCAGGAGTGCCATCCATTCAGGGGGGTTCCTCCCACCACAGTTAAACAGTCAGTCTCCGAAAGCGTCTTCACAGGCCGCCCAGGTGCAGTCACAGGGGATTCTCAACCCCACGACTGACTCTTGGAGCGCTCATCTTACTCTTCCTGGTGTCTGCAGAATAGCCCTCGTTACCTACTGTGGGAAAGGTAGGGGAAATGCACTGTCTTTTCTGTTAAATGATGCAAAGAAATTTCACCTTCAAGGAAATCTGTAAAGACACCATCTGGCACAAACCCCACCATTTTTATGTGTCCAAGGTTACTTCCTATCCTCAGAACACTGCCTCGCACCCACTTTTTTTGGGCTAGTCTTACGCTTTGCTTTTCGGCGGATCTCTCTGTAAGTTACACAGCAGCATGGGAGGGCTGAGCTCTGGCCACCTGGGAGTGGCCTTTGCATTAGGAATAGAAATCCAGCAGGACTGATGGGCAGCAAGCCTGCTTGGCTTGGGCTGCACACCTTTTTGCAGAAGTACAACTTAATGTGTTGCCCAAAATGATGTGGTTGTTCTCCCAAGACCCCACAACTCCCAGTCTTCATTCAGGACCCCGAGTGAATCGGTGGCCTTTGTATGTGTTTGGTAGCATGCTATGAGCTGTCTGTGAGTTTTTTATAAGCTCCTAGCAGAGGGATTGCTTTTTGGAATTTGGTAAATACAGTCCTAAACTTAGCAATGGTTGAACTTACATTTTTTCCCAACTAATTGGCAGTGTAAAACTGATAGACATACAATTGAAACTATAATTTGATCTTTTTTTCTTTTCTTTTTCTTTTTTTTTTTTTTTTTTTTTTTTTTGGCTTTTTGAGACAAGGTTTCTCTCTGTAGCTTTGGAACCTGTTCTGGAACTCTAGACTAGGCTGCCCTTGAACTCACAGAGATCCACCTGCCTCTGTCTCCCGAGTGCTGGGATTAAAGGTGTGTGCTACCACCTCCTGGCTCTCTAATTTGAATTTTTAATGTTACACTTATTTATTGTGAGGGGTTGGGTATGTGCAGGCATGTGTGGCATACAGGGGTCAGAGGACAGCTCTCAGGGGTTGGTTCTCTCCTCCCACCATATGGGTCCCAGGGTGTCATGTTTTACCCCCAATGCCTTTACCTGCTGAGCCATCTCCCCAGCCCTCAAATTTGAGTTTATATCTTTCCCCCAGGACAATGATAAGACAGTCCAGTACTCCTCTACCCCTGGGCAACAGCAGCCCCGTAACTCCCAGGCAGCTGTGCAGGGACAAGGAGAGACAGTTGAGCATTTTACTTAATGTTACTGAGCAATATATTCAGTAAATAGGGTGGCATATTCCAAGCACTTTTTACTTAAAATCCTTTGTATGTATAATGGGTTTACCAGGAGGTGAGCCATTGTAAGTTGAGGAATGGTGTCATGTCGCCTTGCAGTAATGTTGTAAGTTGAGGAATGGTGTCATGTCGCCTTGCAGTAATGTTTGAGAGGGTCTTTTCTATCTGTCTCACTGACCCAGTTTTATGAGACTTTCCAGACTAATAGATAAAAGTATCTGTTTTATTGTTTTTATTTAATTGTGAATTAGGAAGAACATAGATTTATTTTCTTCACATAAATACATAAATGCCAGAGGGCTGTTTGTTTTTTGTTTTTGTTTTGTTTCATTTAAACACTTCATGTGGCTCATTTCTTACAGTTTTAGTGTTTTCTCTAGAAGGCCATCTTCCTACATTGTGCCCTAAGTAAAATGCTTTGGAGAAGAAGACCAGACATTTTAACCCTTGGTCACCCTAGCTGGTGTTAGCAGTGTTTTGGCTGGTACCTCCATCGCTGTGCTTTGGCGAGGTCTTCTGCAATGGATTTAATCATTTGGTCAGTGGTTTTTTTCAATATGGTTGCTGTCTTTAAGGCATGATCCAAAGCCGAGTTTAAAATCTACAGGGGGAAAGTCCACATATTTTAGTTATAAAAACTTACTGATGTCTCTGATAATTGGATTCACTAATTATTAAACATTACAAGATGGAATTTTTGGAGCATTCTGTTTCCACACAGTTTATTTCTGTTTTTGAGGCTTGGTCTCCTAGGAAACCAGTCTGGGATGGAATGTATTTGTCAAGGGAAGGAAGAAAAAAAAATCAACACATGACTGATGAACGTGAATCAGAGGGTGAGGCCAGCAGCCTGCTGGCCTGCTCCTGCTGCAGAGAAAAAGTAGAGCTTAGGGGCCATGGAAGGGACATGTGTGTGAAAGTAACCCAGGGGCTGGTGTTACCAGTCTGAACATAGGAAACGCTGCCACTCCTAACCTAGGTCAATGGAACAGACTGCAGCCTGCTAGTCTAGCCCAGGGAAACCCTGCAGCAGAGGCACCACCCACCAACCACTGTCTCCAGGAAGTTTCCTTTGGATCCCATTTAGAACTGATGCAAACCATGTGGCTGTTGAGGCCCTGTGTTTCCAGTTAGTGCTGAGCAAGGATTGTTTTTAGCATAACCCTTCTGAAAGCCCGCAGGATAACGCTTGAAAGCTAGCCACTCTGTGCGCTTCAGGACCATACATCTGAACTGCGAGCATTTCCTCCGTCCTCACCTTAGATTCCATCTCTTCCACGCTATTCCCATCACATAAGGATTGGATTCCAGGAATCCTGAGGAAATGGAGGTGGGGTGAGGGTGTTGTAGGGTCTGTGTTACAGGTCAGATAAGTCTTGGGATGTTTTCTAGAAGACAAAAAGCACATTGTTACCATCCACAAGTATTCTGTCCCACTAGGCTCGGGAGCAGCTGTGTGTGTGTGTGTGTGTGTGTGTGTGTGTGTGTGTGTGTGTGTAGTAGAGGGACCCTGCCTTTCATAGCACTCATGGTCCATGGGGTCAAGCACAGAAAAAAGTGGTTGCTACAGCCAATGAGGCCCATCCTTCCAGAGTTGCTCTTTCTTCAGGATGTGTGTGTGTGTGTGTGTGCGTGCGTGCGTGCGTGCGTGCGTGCATGTGTGGGTGTATTTCTCCAGAACAGAAAGAACCAAGACTCCAAAGAGATTCTTCTTCTCTTGTCATTCTTTTGAGGTCAACCTTCTACCCTGCATATTCACAAAGGCACACGAAAATTTGCAGTTACAATACCTTGGCAGCTGAAGAAGTGGGGAAATTAATTCAGTGTCACTCTAAGTCAGTGTCCCCTGCACTCAGCACTGTCTGCATGTGACAGATGTGGCTCAGGACCACCGGTGTTCAGCTGTCTACCGCACAGCTCGGAGCGCCTTGCTCCCTTAGTCTCTGTGAAGAGGGCTCCACAGCACTTGCCCAGAGACAGGTCTGTTGTGGAGCCTCCTGCATCCGGCCCCTCTGCTAAGCCTTTTTGGCGGATGGACGCTTGTGAGCAGTATCATCTCCAGGGAGTCCCCTCAGAGCCTCTACCCTGTCTCCTGCACATTGGTTGGTTCTGTAGATCACTTAGCACATTGGGACCATCCTCCAGAGGAGAAGCATTCTGTTTCATGGGTCCCCAACTAACTAAAAACACTGGGCAGGGAGTGGCAGTGTTGCACAGTGGGGAGTGCAGGGGCTTTTGAGTCCTCTCCCCACATGGAATCACCCAGTGCCTTGAGCAGGATGAACATTGCTGAGTACTTCATTTGTTTTAAGTCTTTTAAGATTAATTGATGACTTCCTACATCTAGGTAACACATTTTATAATACATTCTGATCACACTCGTCCTTCTCTCTTATTCCCCTGCCATTCCTGCGAGCTCCCTCCTGCCGTACCACCAAGTCCCATCCAACTTTGCTTTATTTTGAGACGCCCTAGACTTTTGAAGCCAAGTCTCATTCTTGGCGTTTTATATGTTCTCTTGGTGAATCTGGTCCTATCAGTCCCAGGAGGATAAGTAACCTTTCAAAGGAAAGCGGCATGACATAAACCCAAGAAGTCTCCAAAAGCTACATTCTTTTGTTGGTTTGGTTTCTTTTTTTTTAATGGTTTGTTTGTGTGTGTGTGTGTGTGTGAGAGAGAGAGAGAGAGAGAGAGAGAGAGAGAGAGAGAGAGAGAGAGAGAGAGAGAGAGAGAGAAGCCAGAAGAGGACCCTGGAACTGGAGTTTGACGATATTGTGAGCCACCTGGTGTGGGTCCTGGGAACCAAACTTCAGGCCCTTGTTTCAGGTTGTTTGTTGTCTGAGACAGTCTCATTATGTCTTGGTGAGACAGTCTCATATGTAGCCCTGTCTGTCTTGGTGCTTGCTTTGTAGCCCAAGCTTGCCCCAAACTCACCCATGCTCTTGCCTGAGCCTCTGAGCTGTGATTACAGGCGAGCCCTGCCATGCCTGACTTCAAAGACTGTATCTTGAAGGACTGCACTTTCCTGGGGAGCAGGCTCAGGCTTGTTTGTCTAGGTGAAGAGCCTGGACTGTTGTCACTCTGCTGTGCTGTTGGTTCTGACTTAAGTTCTCCTGACACCCACTGGGCTCTCCCTCACCCGGAGTCAAGCTGCCATGATCCCAGCGGAGTCTCCCTTGCTTTGGTCTCTGTGCTCTGGTCTCTGCTCCTCTGACCCACTGCTCATTTCTCACTAGGCACAGTGTTATTTGTTTTTTAATGAGATAGTCTACAGCTAGCCTGGAATTCATTGTTACCCAGGCTAGCCAGAACTCCTACTGAAGCCTTGTGCTCTGGTTTCTGCTCCTCTGACCCACTGCTCATTTCTCACTAGGCACGGTGCTTTTTGTTTTTTAATGAGATAGTCTACAGCTAGCCTGGAATTCATTGTTACCCAGGCTAGCCAGAACTCCTACTGAAGCCTTCTAATTGCTGGGATTGCAAGTACAAGCCACTGTGCCTGACTACTACAGTGGTCTTTTACAATTCTACAAATTTCCTGATTTTAAAACTTCCTCGTTTGCCCATGTTCTGAAGAACCTGAAGAAGCCTGCCTCCCCCTGCTTCATCTTGCTCCACCACTCCCTTTGGGCTCCTGACAGACACACTGGCAGGTGGCTGACCCTGCCCAAGAGCCTTTTCTCCTCAAAAAGCCTTAGTCTAGAATGTTCTTCACATCTATCCTGATGTCCTCTGATAGTTCCTTCATGCTTTTCCTTTCAGTTCAGGTTCCCGAACCCCCAAATCAAGTCTGCAGCACCACAAGCATGGTCTTTTCTGGCATTCCCAGCTCCTCCTGGGAATGCTCAGGGGCAGATGCAGCCGATGTCCAGGCCTCAGCTCTGGCACAATGCCCTGCATTTAGCGCTTAAACACTGGCACTGAAGGAATGCCAGATGGGTCCAGCTCTACCAGCAATAGAGTAAGACAGGCAATCTTGTCTAGGTAGTTAATGGTACAGTATATGCACCTGAATAATGAAACTGTGTATGTGTGTGTGTGTGTGTGTGTGTGCATATGTGTGTGTGTCACCCATGCATGCCCATTTGTGTGTTTAGAGTCTTACTCTGCACCCCACACTGGCCTCAAACCCACCTCAGAGCCCAGACTAGACTTCAGCGTTTGGTAAGCCTCCTGCCTTGTCCTTTCAAGCTTAGAGATGATGGACAGGAGCCACCAGGCCTGGCTCTGTTGTTATTAGTAATAAGAAACAACTCACCCTGTCGTGGAATGGTGCTCATCTTGAAAGGGTTCTGAGTTGACACTCTGGGAACAGGTCCACTTTGATGTTGAACAAGCTGAAAAATGTTAGGTGGGATTAAATTCAGAGTATCAAAGGTGGCCTCCACAGATTTTTAAGTTGGAGGCCAGCCTGGTATTCACTGCAAGTTCCAGGGCGGCCAGGAATGCATAGTGAGAGCCTGCCAAAAAACAAACAAACAAACAAAAAAAAACTCTAAATGTATCACCTCCTTAACTTTGCAGTATGGATGAAATAGTTCATAAAAATTTAACTATAGGTAACACAGAAAGAGAATTTTCTTCCAAGAATTCTGAATTCATGAGACAACTTTTTAAAGAAATTTGTTACATAATTGATTCATTTTTGTGGTGCCCACCTGACACTGTGCCCATATAGAGGCCAGAGGACAGCTGACAGGAGTCAGTTCTCTCCACCATAGGAGTCCCTGGGATTGAACTCACGTTGGCAGGCTTGGCAGCAAGCACCTTTACCAGCTGAGTCATATTGCTGACCCTATATCCGGTTTGTTGATAAGAGTCTCGAGTCTCACTCTCTTTCCCAGGCTGGCCTTGAACTTACAGCAGTCCTCTTGAGGGCTGGTGTTCCAGGTGTGAGCCATGATAAACCACCATGACACTCTGATATAAAACTCCACTAGAGCTCAAGAGACTGAGGTGGGAGGGTTGTCACAAGCCCAAGGCCAGCCTGGGCTACCAAGTGAGACCCTGCCTCAAAATACTAGATACACCAACATTTCTTTACTTATTTGTAGATGAGAGACCAGGGATTTATATTCCTTGGGGGTTCCCTGTGTGACCTGGCATTGTTTCCAACTATACACTACTATTTCATCTAATAAGCACACAGAGAGGTACAGTTTTCAAAAGGTGAAACCCAAATGAATTCTAGACCCTCCACCAACTTCAGGAGTCAGAAACTTGTATTACTAAGATAATTCCAGAAGAGAAACCAAATGATGAAGGGGAGAATGGGAAGTCACTATGGAAATCATGGAGACAGCCAGAAAGGGACAAGTCAGTGGGGAAAAGAAACCTGCATTGTCTGTTACAGTGTGTATGAGATCACTTCCGTTATACCCCTAACCCGTTACAGTGTGCATATGAGATCACTTCCGCCCCACCCCTACCCGTTACAGTGTGTGTATGAGATGCACTTCCGCCCCACCCCTACTTGGTACAGTGTGCATATGAGATGCACTTCCGCCCCACCCCTACCCGGTACAGTGTGTATATGAGATGCACTTCCACCCCACCCCTACCCGGTACAGTGTGTGTATGAGATGCACTTCCGCCCCACCCCTACCTGGTACAGTGTGTATATGAGGTGCACTTCCGCCCCACCCGTAACAGTCTCCATGCATTTGAACACTTTGTTGCTAGTTGACGATGTTTTGGGAACTGGAGAAGCTTTGGGCAATGGCGGGACTTGGCTGGAGGAAGTAGCTCACTGGAGGGTAGATGCTGAGGCTTATAGTCTGGCTCTGCTTCTAGCCAGGGCTCTGACCACTGAAGAGCAATCAGCGTCCTCCCACTCACACCGCCATGCTTCCTCCACCTCGGTAGACTTTACCCTTTTAGCCCGTGAGCCCCAGTGAACCCTCCCTCAAGGTGTTTCTGTCAGGAATAGTGAGGCTACAGTGAGAAAAGTGGCTAACACTTCTGTTGTCGAGGAGCCCTCCCCCTCCCCCTTCTTCTTCCCCTTCCTTCCTGTCATACAGTGAGGCTCTGCTCCCTTCCAGAGGGTCCCACTGGACAAAGAAAAAGCAGACTGCTCCTCAAACACGGGAGACAAGGTGGATGCCGAAAGGTTTGGCTCTAGGCAGCTGGACCTCCACTGTTGGGTCATGAACACAGATGCTTATGGAACCAATCTCAGTTGTCAGTTGTTGTAAATGTAGCTTGGGGGTTTACTGGAAACAGAATTTGAAATGAGCACAGTGTCCTGGGGTTCGGTTCTAGAACAGTCTGCAGATGGACACTGGGCCTCTCAGATGAGGTGCCCAATAGTCATTTTCACCAGCTTCCTTTACTCGAGGTTCCTTTCCAAGACTGAGGGAAAGTTGCCTTCCTGTGCTATCTCCCCCTAAGCTGCTGTGTTTCCTAGGGGAGCTCAGGGTCCCATTTCAGAGATTCTGTGGCATTTCACTATGTGTATCAGAAAAACAGTCTAGGGCTGGCATGTGCAGTTAGTAACAGAGCGCTTGCTTTACAAGTGTGAAGTTCAGGGTTCTGTCCCTGACACCTTACAAGAGGAAGAAGAAGGGGGAGAGGGAACAGGAGGGTGGGAAGAGGCGGGGGAAGAGAAGGAGGAGGAAAGCCCCAAAGACCAAGGATATGGAGAAGAAATCCACTATGTGGCTCCTGCGGAATCATAGAGACTCCCTTTGGAAGAATGTGTCCAATTGGAGGATATGTCCGCTGGGGCGGGTGGGAGAGGAGCCGCAGATTAACTCAGGTAAATGGCATTCTTTGGTCTTGGGCATTGGCAGTTGTGAAAAACAAGAAATATTCTTCCTGGGGCTTGCCTAAGAGAGGAAGCATTCTAGTCAGAGAAGTCATGGCTGGCTGCTGGAGTGGAACCAGATGCACCTTCTTCCCCGCCCTGTCCCGAAGCAGTCTCTACCATATTTGCTTTGCGCTTTCCTTACTTGGCTCCAAGTCCCTTTTAACTAGGAACTTCTTAGGAGAGAGGCGCTGTGCCTTCCTTATTCATCTTTATAAATGAATGTGGAATTTCAGTTTTTCTCAAAGATTGCAAATGTTTGCATTGGAAATTAACAACTGTGTGTCTAAGGCGTGCCAAACCTCTGGACACACTGAGTAGGGATAGTAATAGTCGAGTCGGCCACTCATTAGTTCAGAGTGTATGCTTGATACTGACTTGACTGCAGTCACTAATCTCACAGCCCTACCTGTATGGCTAGAGCCACACAGGAGACGTCACAGCTAGAGCCACACAGGAGACGTCACAGCTAGGGTCACACAGGAGACGTCACAGCTAGGGCCACACAGGAGATGTCACAGATAGGGTCACACAGGAGACATCACAGCTAGGGTCACACAGGAGACGTCACAGCTAGAGCCACACAGGAGACGTCACAGCTAGAGCCACACAGGAGACGTCACAGCTAGGGTCACACAGGAGACGTCACAGCTAGAGCCACACAGGAGACGTCACAGCTAGGGTCACACAGGAGCACAGTAGGCCACGGAGATCACAGCTAGGGTCACACAGGAGACATCACAGCTAGGGTCACACAGGAGATGTCACAGCTAGGGTCACACAGGAGATGTCACAGCTAGGGCCACACAGGAGACGTCACAGCTAGGGTCACACAGGAGATGTCACAGCTAGAGCCACACAGGAGATGTCACAGCTAGGGCCACACAGGAGATGTCACAGATAGGGTCACACAGGAGACATCACAGCTAGGGTCACACAGGAGACGTCACAGCTAGAGCCACACAGGAGATGTCACAGCTAGGGTCACACAGGAGATGTCACAGATAGGGCCATACAGGAGATGTCACAGCTAGGGTCACACAGGAGACGTCACAGCTAGAGCCATACAGGAGATGTCACAGCTAGGGTCACACAGGAGACATCACAGATAGGGTCACACAGGAGACATCACAGATAGGGTCACACAGGAGACATCACAGCTAGGGTCATACAGGAGATGTCACAGCTAAGGTCACACAGGAGACATCATAGCTAGGGTCATACAGGAGATGTACTTACAAGATGAAGACATTTTATTTCCATGTAAGAAGTGGGACTGGGCAGAGGTATATCCTCCATTGTGATTTAAGTCATCCTGCCCTGGAGTGTCATATCTATAATGGAATTCTAAATAAAAAGGAAAAGTTGAAAGCATAGCCCCTTGCCTGGGAAAGACGGCTGTCCCTACCCACCCCTCTGGAGTCCCCGAGTCAGTTTCACCTTTTGCTGGTTCTTTGTTGTAGACTCTCTGGGAGTTCTGAGTCTTACTGCCACTGTCCTCACATTTGTCACTCTGTAGTCCAGTGCCTGCATCAGGAGGGAAGCTGGACCCCGGGTCAGAACCTAAGAGGGTACACAGAGGTTTGTTGAGAATAGTCATGAAGTGTGGAGTAAACGCTGATGTGCTGTGTGCCTGGGGCACCAAAGGGTGCTTCCTCGGTGGCGCTCCCAAGGGGGAGTTGCGAACCAAAGGGTGTCATCTCAGATCCCTGCTGACAACAGAGATCTTTCTGATATGAACGTCCCCAAACAAACCCGGCCGTATAGACACACAGGAAAGATCTGAACCACTGTGAGAACTTGGTCCACTGCGTTATTGGATCCTCCTTATATTTGTAGCTGTTTGTTTTTTGCTTTTTTTTTTTTTTTAAGATTTGTCCCAAATACACCCAAGGTCTTCATTTCAGATCCTGTTATGGCCAAAACTGTTTGTTCTGTCATCAGGGTGGCTGCAAAGATTGTTCCCCCCTATGTAATATTCACGAACTCACAGGAAAGTCCAAGTGGTAAGTTTGCCTGGCCTGAGATGTCAGGAGAGGAGGGCATGTGTAGCTGATGCCGATCTAGAACCTGTTGGGCACACTGTGGGCTGTGGAGATGCCAGGGAAGACCAGGGCATTAGATGTGCAGGGGCAGTGACAGGGGATGTCCTTCTGTATATATGTTTCTGTTGTTGGTTGATGAATAAAACACTGATTGGCCAATAGCCAGGCAGGAAGTACAGACGGGGCTACCAGACGAGGAGAATTCTGGGGAGAAGACAGCAGAGAGGAGCCACAAGGAGACACCGTGTAGCTATGGGGAAAGATAGGACATGCTGGGCGTTTTTTCGTAAGATAAGGCCATGTAGAAATACATAGATTAATAGTTATGGGTTAATAATTAAAAGAGTGCTAGCCAGTAAGAAGCCTGAGCCACTGACCAAACAGTTGATAATTAATATAATATAAAGTCTTGGTGTGTTTGTTTGGGGCTAAAGAGCTGTGGGATCAGGTGGGACAGAAACACCGGCTACAGGACAGGGGCGCTTGTAAGCATACATCACAAATTAAAGACCTGGGGGCCGGGCAGTGGTGGCGCACGCCTTTAATCCCAGCACTCAGGAGGCAGAGGCAGGCGGATCTCTGTGAGTTCGAGGCCGGGCTGGACCGACAGCCTCCAAAACAATACAGAGAAACCCTGTCTCGTAAAAACCAAATAAATAAAGACCCGGGGTTGAATCCTGGCTCTGCCACTTCTTAGCTGAAAATATCTACATCAATTCTTTGACACTTTCTCTATCATCTGTCATTTGTCTCTCTCTGTATTGAGGCATGATCTCTCTACATAGCTATGACTGTCCTGAAACTCACTGTGTAGACCAGACTGGCCTCAAACTCACAGAGATCCACCAACCTCTGCCTCCATCATGCTGGAACTAAAGGTGTGCACTGCCACATCCAGCTGGTACTTGCTTTGAAAGGTGGCACTTAGGCTAGGGAATATTTGCCTGGCGTGCACAATGCCCCAGAGTCTATCTGTAGAACTACATTTTACATACCATAAAAATTCTCCCCAAGGTAGGCATGGTTGCTCAAGCCCATAATACTACCACTTGGGAGGAAGAGGCAGAAGGATCAGGAGTTCAAGGCTAACATCAGCTACATAGGAAGTTTGAGGCCAGCCTGGGCTATATGAGACCCTGTTTCAAGAAACAAAAAGTCTCCCCAGTAAGAAATCATCACAGAATATTTAGTCGTTGTCATTGCCCCTCCTCCCTGCAGATAGACTCACAGAGGTGTCTTGATGTGTAAAGTGTAAATTATTTCAGTGTCCAGGTCTTCCTAAGACTTAAATGAACAGTTCTGTGGACGTGACAAATACTTTATTATTTTATGTAAAAATAACAAGGGTGGCCAGGCGGTGGTGGCGCATGCCTTTAATCCCAGCACTCGGGAGGCAGAGGCAGGCGGATCTCTGTGAGTTCGAGGACAGGCTGGACCGACAGCCTCCAAAACAATACAGAGAAACCCTGTCTCATAAAACCAAAAAAAAAAAAAAAAACAAAAAAAAACAAAAATAACAAGGGTGTGGCCAGTGGCAGAGCCCTTACTTAGCATGTGTGAAGCCCTGGGCGCCATCCTCTGCCCCAGCAGTGACAGCAACAAGAAGTGGGCACAGTGCCACCTGCCTGTCATCCTCACTGCCTAACTGAAGCAGGAGCGTCCAGGAGTCTGGGGACAGCATAGGCAACATAGTAATACTTCCCCTTTGAAAAACAAATAGAGGTAATGAATTTATCTTATGTTAACAAAGTAATATATTTTAAGTAAAAAAATATTTTTCCCAAAAAAACGAAACCCAAAGCTAATGAGAAGTGCCATCATGTTATGCTTTGAGCTAATGAGAAGTGCCATCATGTTATGCTTTGAGCTAATGAGAAGTGCCATCATGTTATACTTTGGTAGCTCTGGCTTCATAGCTGGGAGCTAGGTTCCAAGACTGCAAGCATCCCTATCCGCATGCTGCAATACTGGCCTTCTCTCCCTACAGCGCAGTGCTGTCTGGTAAAGAAGGGCCTGCTTGAAAGGCTTTGGGAACTCCTGGTATAAGCACTGAGTTTAGCAAGTGCTCAGTCCGTGAAGCCGATTACTTGAATGTGTGTGTGTGTGTGGTGTGTGTGTGTGTGTGTGTGTGTGTGTGTGTGTGCCCATGTACATGTGTGCTCAGGTGCCCATGGAGACCAGAAGAGGGCATTAGATTTCTTGAGTGCTGAGAAACGAATTCTAATCCTCTGCCAGAGCAACAAGCTTTCTTCACCGCTGACCCACCGCTCCAGCCCTCCAAAGCTATTATTTGAAAACATACTATCCTCAGAGAGCTCAGTTTAGAGCCAAGTGGGCACTACCAGAATGCTGAGTGGCAGGCAAGGTTCCGGGAGCAGGGACCATGCTCATAAACACGCTGAGTCAGCTCTCTGGCCTGCACTGGAGTCCAGCTCGGCCGCGAGGATGGTTGGTTCTATCGATGGCGGCAGTTCAGGAGCGGCAGGCCTCCTGGTCACCTCGGCAGTTTGGCCAGAGTACGTTTTTCTGCTTGACAGTGTTGGAGCAGGGTCTTATGACTGAAGTCATTAAGTCCCATGCACTAACGCTCCCTTAGCTGCTCCCACCGCCCCCAGCTTTCTCAGCCTCTGTGAAATGAATGAGCCAGCAGGGCCTCCCATGGGGCTGGTCAGGGGCAGTTATGGGTCTTGCCCAGAGCGTGATGACCGGCATCCTGTCCATTTAGAGGCGTGGGCTGGTTCTGCACTGTGCCTACCCACTTCCTAGTTAAATGGCTCATTACCAGTTCTTCACATAAAAAAAAAGGAAACCAGATACCATCCTAGTCAAATGCCAAAGGATGATGATGGCAGATGGAGAGCCGGTACCCACTGTGAGCAGACCCCAGAGAGGCATCTTTACCAGGCATGCTCACCCCGCCCCTCCAGCTTACCGAGAGGTGAATCTTGGCCCAGTGTTTTTACATGGGTGCCAATGGAAAACTTTCCACAGTGGGTCCTTCTGAGGGTCCCTTTCTCCATTTTCTGTTTCCTTAAAAAAGAGAGAGAGAGACAAACAAAAGAAAACAAGGTCTCAAAATTATAGTACTAGTATGGGTAAACTGAAGTGCTAAATTTCTCCGATAGTCTCCAAGCCAGTGAGATAGTTCAGTTGGTAAGATCACTCACCACTAAGTCTAAGGGCTTAAATTTGATTATTGAGAGAGAAAACTGACACCCACAAATTGACCTCTGACCTCCACATATATACCAAGGCACATACCTGCACACACACACACACACACACACACACTACTTTAAAATGTTAAAAGAATACATATTTTAAAAAGGAGTTTGAAGTACAGAATTGCAAGAATTTTTTTCTTCATAATGCTATGTTAAAATCAGTTTTTTGGGGGGTTGGGAGATTTTTGTTCATTTTTCAGAGATCTCACACTAGTCCAGGCTGGCTGGAAGCAATAATGCTGCCTGGGACCTCGAGGACACTGGGACTTCAGGCCAAACCACCCCACCTGTCTCGGAGCAGTTCTTATCTGAAGAAAAAATCGTGTTTACATTAGTACTGGATTACATCGCTCTGATCCTCTAAGTTCAAGCTAAACGGAGTCCTACAAAGTGGGTTTCGTGTATGTTGAGGGGCTAGTGGCTGGGAGTCTGGAGTTCACGTTATAATAGCATACGGCCGCCAGGTGGCGTCAGAAACACACGCGCACAATCAGGAGACTTTCTGGCCTGTGTTAGTCTTCAGCCTCCCTCCACACGGATTCTAACTCCTCCAAAAGAGTTTGAATTGCTAGCAGCATCTAACAAGGCTCTTGCTCAGCCCCGGGATACAGCAACAACCCCTGGAGGAAAGTGTGTTCTAGCGTGAAAGGCATGGCCTCCAGGACATCCTGGTGCACATGACAGGCTTGCCCCGGGCTGGCTAACTTGGACCATTGCTGAGCAAGTGGGTCCAGCTGTGCCTAAGCCTGCTGATAGTGGAGAGGGGACCCCGTTTGGGGTTCCTGAGGTTGGGACTGGAGGGCCAGGCCCCTGCCAGCCCTTTCCTCCTCTTGGAAAAACACGCTAGCCTCCTGAGTCATGTATTTTCTCACACCTCATTTTCTGTCTCCACCCTCTGCCTCTGGGGCCTGTGAACATCTGCTCTCCGAGTGGAAAACTTGGATGTGGTTCAAGTGAGCACAGTCCAACGCATCAATTACATTTCTCAGTTGCCTTTAGACTCCTGTCTGTACTAAGATCTGGCCAGACAAAGCAGCCAAGAGCAATTCTACTGGAGGAGAAGGCAGCTTTTTCAGCAAGACAAAGCGGCTAACACAGACTCTCCAGTCCCAAACCCCGCATCAGAAATAGCACACGGAGATGTGAATTAATATGTCACATCAGCATATCCACATTTAGGCAACTTACAATTTGTGCGTCATCAGACTTCATAAAGAATACAGCCCACTGATGACAGTAAATTGAGGCTTTTGATGAGGAGCCCACAGCCTTCCTTCAATGAGTGACTCCTGGGGACGGTCATGGGGATTACCAAGATTCAGTTCCTAAGTCCCGTGTGTTGTGACTTCCAACAGCGGGGCATTTTCATGCTTTTACACTGGGTTGAGCTTTTCATCCTGCCTCCTCCATTTTAAATGCTCACCCTGGAACACTGGTCCCTGCCAGAGCTGATATGTTTTTTGTAGGCATTAGATTAGGAATTTGGAAAAGAAACAACTGGTACTTTAACGATTAATCTTTTTTTTTTTTGAGTCAGTGTCTCACTACAGAACTATGTAGACCAGGCTGGCCTCCAACTCAGAGACTTCCCTGCCTCTCCTAGGATTAAAGGTGTGTCACCAGACCCAGCAATCAGAATCTTTTACAAATGTCAAAATATTTCATTAGGAGTAATAAAAATCTTTTTAAAGGATCTCAAATCTGGATTGCTAATTAATTCAATACACTGAAGATCACAAGCGTGGGCTGCCCGGGCGAGCAAGCTTCGGTGGCGTCCTGTGCTAAGAGAGCTCGAAGCGCAGTCTGCCGCAAGGCTCGAGGCACCAGACCGTCCCAGGCAATGCCTCGGTAGCCCAGCCCCACGCTGGTTCTTTTTCTAGGGGCGGAAACTTAATAAAGCACTGGTGACAGGTGACTCCCGCAGAGGAGCGCTTTCTAACAGGAAGTTACTGTCCTCCAGACCTTGTCATCCTCTTATTGGAGCCCATTATGTACTTAAATAGTGGTTGCAAAACAGCCCCTCCCTCCTTGACTCTTGACCTTTCCCGGTAAATGGTAAATCAGCTGAGCTTTGCACTCAAGGCGGTGCCTCTCCTAACTGATAGGAGCCGCAAACAAATGTCCTGAGACCACACGGGCCAACTGCTGTTCCGATGGGGATTGTGTAATTTACGCTTGTTAATGCTGGAGGATTTCTTCCTTAGGAATTCAAAGGTCTGCTTTGGGAAGAGGCATGGGGCTTATTTCCCGTGATATTGGGGCGCTCAAGTGAGACCCAGTAGGGAAAAGACTCTGTGTGTTGCAATCACATGAATGATACTTCGGTCGGTGCACACGCATGCAGAGGCCACTGCTCGCCCCCTTATTGCCTTGAGACAGGGTCTCCTAATGAACCGGAAGGCTGGCTGAGCAGGCTCCGGTAGCTAGCCGGTGGCTTAGTTTAGCTACCATCCATGCTCACAAGCTCGCTCCATCACAGCCTTCCACCCAGCCTCAAGAAGCCCTCACCCACCAAGGAGTGGGCAGCAGAAAGCACGGCGCGGGTGGTGTGCCATCATGTCTACACATGACTGCCTTCCCCAGGCTCTGCTGGGATTCTCCTGTGCCACAAAACGCAGCCCAGCACACAGCTCGACCTGGACAACCTCGTCACATCAGGACCAGACAATTGCCGGGCAACTCTTACAGACAGGAGTGGGCCCAGGGGGACGGGAAGAAAGAGCCCACACTTGGCTCTGATGTCTCTCGTGGCCTGCTTTGGGGAAGGGAAGCTGCAGTATTATTTGTGCCTCTTTCTTCCTCCAAAAAGATTTTGAAATCTGGAGTCCGGATGAGAGAATACTTTCCCTTCCCCCATGCTCATCTTATTTTCAAAGTCCTCCACCCTCCATCCCAAGATGAACAGAGTGGGAAGTTACGGGGATTTTCTTTTGGTGCAAGGATGGAATGAATCCATGCCAAGGAAGTGATCTACAGCCCTGCCCCGGAAGATGCTTTTTAACTATTTATTCGGACTGTTCATGTGCGCATGCATGCCACAGTGTGTGTGTGTAGGTCAGAAGACACATTCCGCCCTCCACCTTGCTGAGAGGGTTTCTCTTCTTTCTCTTCTTCCTTCCTTCTTTTCTTTTTATTTGTTTGTTTTATGAGACAGGGTTCTCTGTGTAGATCAGGCTGGCCTCTCTTGTTTCTGTGGATACCCTATGTAGTGCCGACTAGCCAGAACTCTCCGATCTCCACCTCCCAAGTCTCTGTGGGCCACATTTGAGTCAGCAGGCCTGACAGTTAGCACTTCCGCCGCCCAGCCCCTAGAAGAGAATTTTTAACCATGGGGTACTCCAGCTCAAAGTTGGTTTTTGGTTTTGTGTTTTGAAGAAATGTAATCATCATCAATTAGTATGAGGCCTAGGGATGGCTGGTAGCCTGAGTGATGGGAACACATACACTCCTTAGACACACATGACTGCACAACTTAACTGCCGGCCGACAGCACCTGCCATGCAGTTTGACTATGGCCTTATCCTTCATGGAAGCAGAACATAAATGTCCCTTTTCCACCATTGTAAACAATACCGGCGCAAGCATAACTGAACACGTGGGGTTTCCCACACTTTGAATTACTTCCCGGGGAAACATCTGGGCCAAAGGTTTTGAGCGTGTTTGTGTGATGACACGTTTGCCAGCCTGCTTTCTACAAGTTTCACGATTGGATGACACAGCTGCCAACAATGTGGGAAGATCAGCTTGACCACACCTTTCTCAGGATCA